GCACCCACAGAGGGCTAGCCTTGGAGCTTTAACATCATGAAAGCTTAGTATTTCATGTCCATTTTGGCTCTTTCTCCCTTTCTTCGTCTCTTGGTTTTGCCATTATTCTCTCAGCTTCTTTGGAATCCTAACTAGTCATGAGCTGTACCAAAGACAGCTCATCAGATGTGAGAACCAGAGCAAGACAACTTTTTTTGTTTGTTTGTTTGTTGTTGGTTTTGGGGCTTGAACTCTAGGCCTGGACACTGTCCCTCAGTCTCTTCAGATCAAGGCTAGCACTCTACCACTTGAGCCACAGCGCCACTTCCAGCTTTTTCTGTTTCTGTGGTGCTGAGGAATCGAACACAGGGCCTCATGCATGTGATGTAAGCACTCTATCACTGAGCCACGTTCCCAGCCCCAGAGCAAGACAAAGCATTTATTGTGAAGATTTTTTTAATTCTGTGACCATAATCAGAACTAGGTCATTCAGAGAAATTATGGCATTCCTGACTATTCTCCTTTTTTAAGACTTCTATCCACTTATTTAACACAATTCAATGTAAAAAATCTCATTATTCAGAATAGTATTGTTAATAGTTTCTCCCTAAGAAATGACAAGTTGAGCATTTCTCATCCAAAACATTTGGAACTAAAGACAATTCAGATTTAAGAGATGTTTGGGTTTTAGAATATTCACATAGTAATCTGAAAATCCTTTAGTGCTCAAAAGATTTCAAATTAGAGATGCTCAACTTGTAGATTATATATTTATTATACGTATTTTCATTGTACATTATGTATTACATCATAATATTTAGTCAGTCTAAAGAGAAAAACTACACCATCCATCTCTTCTTCTGTGTTGTATTAAATAAGATCTCTATAGTTCATTAACTGAACCCTAAAAACTATTAACCAAATTATTTGTCCCTAAAACAAAGTGATTATAGACAACTTTTTTTTGCCGTTTTTTTCCTATATTCAGCCTTAAATTTTTTGTGGCACTGTACAGATCTAGATATATTTACAGACCTAGGTATAAGTTGGTACATCATTCATTCCACATTAAGACAGATACTGATTGTAAAGTTTGCTATGATTCATTGCAGTGTTACAGAAAACCGTAGTGTGTGGTATGTATGGGTGAGGGGTAGAGAGGCTGGTTTTTCTTAAGTATAGAGAAAATGTGCTTATGATTAACCCTTTTCTACTGAAGATACTTGTTAAGAAGTTATTGCTGTATTAGTTAGCATCGTCATTAGCTTTTACAGAATGCCAACTGAGAAAGTTTTCTTACTTGAGAGAGATTTGACCTGTTTTTACTATAGTGATAATACATTTTTATATATTTGATAATATATTTTGACATAGTCTTGGTCTTTTTCCTGATTGTAGCACATTCTGGATTCTAGGCCAGAAATACAGATATTCAGAAAGTAAAACTCATTTTGTACAGGAATACTGCTTTTCTGTCTATGCACAGTAGTGGATACAAAAAAAAACTAGATATAGAATTAGGCCTCAAGGTGTTTGCTTTATTATTTAAAAAATCATTACATAGGGGCTGGGAAAGTGGCTCCATGGTAGAGTGCTTGCCTTGCATGCATGAGGCCCTGGGTTCGATTCCTCAGCACCATATAAGCAAAAAGAAAAAAGCTGAAAGTGGTGCTGAGGCTCAAGTGGTAGAGCGCTAGCCTTGAGCTGAAGAGCTGAGGGACAGCGCCCAGGCCCAGAGTTCAGGCCCCACGACCGGACCCCCCCCCCATAAAAAAATCATTACATAGTTATGTAATATAGAAAGTAATAAATACCACAAGAGACATCTAGGTTAAGTACTTTGGCAGTTCAGAAGGATTTATTCAATATCTATTGAGAATTTCTCAATTTATTGGCTTTATAGCAAATGTATTCCCTGCCTTTAAGTGCAGTGGGAAGGACATGCCCAAGAGAGACTTCTGACTGCAGCAGAAGAATCCAGGAAGCTTTTTTTTTTTTTTTTTTTTTTGTTAGTTGTGGGGCTTGAACTCAGGGCCTGGGCACTGTCCCTAAGTTCTTCAGCTCAAGGTGAGCATTCTACCACTTGAGCCAGAGTGCCACTTCCAGTTTTCTGGTGGTTAATTGGACATGAGAGTCCCACAGACTTTCCTGGCCCGGCTGGCTTTGAACCACGATCCTCAGATCTCATCCTCCTGAGTAGCTAGGATTACAGGTGTGAGCCACCAGCACCTGGCCTAGGAGCCTTTCTAAAAGAATGTCTGAGTGATCATCTCAGATGCACAGCACCTGTGGAGGGGATGTCAGAGATTATAATTTATTTTGCTAAAAGCATAAATGAGTGAGGGAGGCCATTGATGAGAAAGAGTTTGAAGGTATAGGTACAAGTTAGAATCAGGATGATGACATACTTTGTTATGCAGCTTAGACTTATTTGGGCCAAAAGGTAATAATAATGAAAAGATTTAACAGAAGGAAATGGTACAGTTTCATTTAAGTTGGAGATACTTGATGGACATCCATGTGAAATGTCCAGCAGACTGTCACACACGTGTGTCAGAAACTCAAGGAAAAGCAAGAAGTAACTGGATGACCCGCATCAAGTGTCTTTGTGATCCTGGAAGCCAGAGCACAGCACAAGAAGAGCAGCAAGCCTGAACAGACACTTAGGATCTCCAGCTTTGCAGAGGGGTGGAGAATCAGGACTGGTAGGAGAGCAGCAGTGACTGGAGAAAGTGTAATAAAAACTAAGGGATGGAAGGTTGTTAGGATGGGAGCACTCAGCAGCATCCTGTATCACAGAGGCAGCTCTCAGATGGGACAGGCAGAGTGTCAGAAAGCTGACACTACAGGGATGAAGGCAGAAGCCACACGATTTGTACTGAAAGAGATCTCAGTTGTCCAAAAGTTCAGAGATTGTCCATAATATTGAGGGAGGTTAGAAGTCTAGATCCACCACATACCAGTTTTAAGACCTTCGGCAAGTTAAGATGTTTTACTTGTCTTTAAAATGGAGATTATGATATCCACCCATCATAATAACCCTTATTAGGGTTTCAATGAGAATTAACAGAGATTGTCAGTAGAAAGCATTTGAAAAGCACCTGTATGTCCTGTATGTATTCCGCTCATGATCTATAATAGTGTTAACTATTACCATTATTAAGGAAGGAGACACAGAGTTGCCTCATTTATTGTTTGGTTGTTCGGTTTGGGGTAGAGGGAAAGGGAGAGGTCCTTTTTGTGAGGAGATATTTGCCTCTGTCACTAGGCCAGATGGGGTGTGGGGGAACTAGTTTAGTGCTTCCAATTTTGCTCTGCTGTTAACTCTGTTTTTGTGTGCTTAAACTCAGGGCCTGGACACTGTTCTTGAGCTTTTTTTCCTGAAGGCTGGCATTCCACCACTTGAGCCACAGCTCCACTTCTGGCTTTTTGTGGCTAATTGGAGTTAAGAGTCCCACAGACGGGGCTGGGAAGGTGGCTCAGTGGTAGAGTGCTTGCCTTGCATGCCTGAGGCCCTGGGTTCAATTACTCAGCACCACATAAGCAAAAAGAAAAAAGCCGGAAGTGGCGCTGTGGCTCAAGTGATAGAGCGCTAGCCTTGAGCTGAAGAGCTGAGGGACAGCGCCCAGGCCAGAGTTCAGGCCCCACGACCAGACCCAAAAAAAAAAAAAAAAGAGTCCCACAGACTTTACTGCTTCAGCTGATTTCAAACCACATTTCTCCTATCTCAGTTAATTGAATAGCTAGGATTATAGATCTGAGCCTCCAGCGCCTGGCTTTTGCAATGAACTCTTAACAATGTCTATTTCCGTTTCCTATACAAATAAATAATAGTTTCTATTTACCTGTCTGCCAGTTATTGTAATAGTACAACTGATCATATTGAATGATGTTTCTCATTCATGAACTTTTTACTGTTCTCAGAAACTCTTTGTAACTCCTGTGGTCCTGTCTATCAATTGCAAGTCTTGTGCACCTCTCTCCTCTAGGTTCCCATGCAAGCCTTGCGTCTTCCTCTGCAGTTGTATTCCTTACACGGAGGCTGGTGTTGCACCTTCTCTACCATTCTGTGAGCTAGCTGTGCAGTCAGCTATCAAGTCTGTGTAGTGCCTTGCTTTGTGGTAGATGCTCAATAACTGTCAGGTTGCATTGCATATTACAGGAGATTTCCTAACTAGATGGTTCATGTGATGAAGTTCTTCTGTATGAGTTGCACAGCACAGAATTTCAAAAACTTGGAAGATATGGGCTGGGAAGGTGGCTCAGTGGTAGAGCGCTTGCCTTGCATGCCTGAGGCCCTGGGTTCGATTCCTCAGCACCACATAAGCAAAAAGAAAAAAGCCGGAAGTGGCGCTGTGGCTCAAGTGGTAGAGCACTAGCCTTGAGCTGAAGAGCTGAGGGACAGCGCCCAGGCCCAGAGTTCAGGCCTCACGACCGGACCAAAAAAAAAAAAAACAAAAAAAAACTTGGGAGATATTTTGAGATCATAGTTACTTTGTCCTCATTACTTAATTCATTAATGTCAGAAAGGTGAAGGTCATGCTTGACTAAACCTGAAGTCAGGATGGGAAGTATTATTGAAATAACTGTTTTTTACTCCATTATCAATGCTTTTGAATTCCTAATTTAGCTGTTAAATAATTTGAAGAATCATCTTTGAAAAGAGTATGAACTTGGTAGGTAAATGTGTAAAGCAAGGCTACTTAAAAATTTTCCAAAATGTTTGCAAACACTAGAGTTATTTAGACCTTTTTTTTGTTGATGTGTTTCCAACCTTCCTGGAAAAGACATTGTCCATCACTTGATGGCATGCGATTTTGTGGGTTCCCACGTGGGCAGTGCAGACGTCACCACCAACTTTAGAAATGGTCTGAGCAACAGTTGCTTCACTGTCTTATCCTGTGTACTTTCAACTTGTCCAAAACAGTGACTCTGTAAGTTTATACCCTTGTGTGCATACATGGGCCTGGGTGTCTTCTCTGTGAGTATTTGTAACACACAGTGTTTTCTCTCTGTTGAAGCGTACCCTGTCCTGTACTCCAGCTAGCAAAGGCAGACGTGTAAGAGACTCTCGCATGGAGTGCCGTCCCAACGCTAAGCTTGTCTCTTGCTGTTGCCCATTGCCTGTGGCTGCAGAGGCTGTGGCCGTGTGTGTGATGTATCATGTCACCAACTGCATGCTTTGTGCTGCTACTCTTGTTGCTTTTCTGCTTTCTCGTATTTTCAGTTTTTTGTGTTTTAGCGTGGGCCTCAAGCTTTAGGAATGTTCTTCATGTAAATGTCTGTAACAAAACTACTAGAATAGTAAGACATCTTCCTTGTTTTGATTGGGTACTGATTATACTTTCTAAATTAATCAAGTACAAAGTAAGTGAGTTTCTAAATAAGAATCTGATACAAGTAAAAATTTAGCGATTTCCTAGCGACTTATTATGTAGAAATTAAATGATAACATACAACGTTAGGCCTCATTGACTGCAGTTTATATAAGTCAATCCTAGTTAAATATTAGGAGCTTTAAACATAGTTCTAAAAACTCCTTTTAAGTGTTCTTACATGTATAAATTTTAAGAAATAATGTTAATTTTTTTATATTCTAAGATTTTAAAAATACCTATTTCATTGTTTGAGTATGTATTAGCATCCTTTAGCCATCTTCCTCTGCTAATGCCAGCTCCATAGATCTTGCCTTGGAATGGATTGGCCTGTCATAAAGATCCTGATGCCAAGTAGAAACCTGTGTGAACCTGTGTGTGTGGAAAAGTCTCTAGTTTTCCTAAGCCAGACTCTATCCCACACATATATTCCCCAGAGAGAAGCAGTAGGCCAACCTGTAATATTTGTTTGAATTTTCTTGTACTAGGTGAAATAGTAATGTTAAGAGGGGAAGTAGTGATAGATACAGATTTTGTTCTCACATGTCAGTTTCAGGATCAACACTGTAAGCCCAGAGTTCTAAGATGTAGACAATTCTAAATCAGGTTGTTCTCTGTATGGAAGGTAGTTGGATGGCTCATTAATTCCTGTGCTTTTGCTGATAAGACACACGGTCTCTGTGTATAAAATGAGTAGTCACTAGTATTGCATGTTTTTAGACTGCTGTCTAACAATTAATAACCAGCTCAGATGTCAGTGCTATTTCTGTTGGAACTGCAGGCTGAGCCCACACTAATTGTGGAGGTCTGTGTGAAGATTGCTGGTTCTAAAGATTTCTTGACTATTTCAAAATTTGTATAGAATTAAAGCCATTCAATATTTGGATTTAGCAAATTAACCCAAGTATATGCTAACTATTTAAATCTAGCAAGAAAGACAGAAACATGTGCTCATGGTTATACTAGATCCAACTATGCACTGAATATACTGACAGCTGCTTTTTATAATAACATTTTATCATTCAAAGAGGTTTTTGATTAATTTTATTGTGGATTAGTTACAGCTCACTAACCATACAGACTTTGGGAGACTTCACCACCTAGGATGTTTGTGTGAATCTTGAAATAAGGAAAGATTTCTGATGGAACTAGCTATTATAAGCATTGGATTCTAATTCTCTATCTTTATTCTCTAGGATATGAATAACTTAACTGGAACTTAATGAATTTAGCCTGATTTAAGACTGTTTAAAATGCAGATATGAGCTACTTTCCTAGCTTTCTCCAGTTTTGCTTGGGCTAAGTATATAACAAAAAGTCCGATTAGGGCTGGGAAGGTGGCTCAGTGGTAGAGCGCTCGCCTTGCATGCAGGAGGCCCTGGGTTCGATTCCTCAGCACCACATAAGCAGAAAAAAAAAAAAAGCCAGAAGTGGCGCTGTGACTCAAGTGGTAGAGCGCTAGCCTTGAGCTGAATAGCTGAGGGACAGCGCCCAGGCCCAAAGTTCAGGCCCCACGACTGGACCCCCCCAAAAAAAAATCCGATTAAAGTGGTAGTGAACTGGTACTGATGAGTCATAACTGTTATTTTAGCTACTTAGTAGGGTGAGATCTAAGGATCAAAGTTTGAAGCCAGCCCACCTAAGAAAGTATGTGAGACCACCAATTAACTATCAACTGTAGAGTACCAACCTTGAACCAAAAAGCTATGGGACAGTACCCAGGACCTGAGATTAAGCCTCAAGACTGGCACAAAAGTACTACTGCTACTAATAGTACTACTAGTGGTAGTGTCACTGAAAGAGATGATTGAGGAATTGTGAGTTATTCAGAAGCTAAGCAGAAACATGTCAGTGAGAACATTGGTGGTCCCTAGGCATACTTGTATTACTTCAATAGGCTATAACTGGTGCCATTCCTGACTTGGCCTGTAATCTAATATTGCATGTAATTTTATGGCATATACCATGCTTTTAGATAAGTAAAAAATGCAGTGATTTTCTTTTTTGGGGGGGTGAGGGGGGCAGGAACAGATCATGGGGCTTGAACTCTCAGCCTGGGTATTGTTCCTGAGCTCTTCTGCTCAAGGCTAGCACTCTACCACTTTGAGCCACAGCGCCACTTCTGGTTTTCTGGTGGTGAATTGGAGATAAGAGTCTCACAGATTTTCTACCTGGGCTGGCTTTGAACCACAGTCCTCAGATCTCAGCCTCCTGAGTAGCTAGGATTACAGGTGTGAGCCACTGGCACCTGGTGTATCCAGTGCTTTTATAAGCTTAAAAGTAGGAAGTGGCGCTGTAGCTCAAGTGGTAGAACACTCGCTTTGAGCTGAAGAGCTGAGGGACAGCGCCCAGGCCCAGAGTTCAAGCCCCATGGCCGACCAAAAAAAAAAAAAAAGAATCCAAGTATAAGCTTAAAAGTCTTTTGCTGTGAAATGTCATAGAAATCGTGAGGTAAACTAAATGTTTGCCATATTCTTATTTTTATACTGTTAAGCTTCAACACTGATGAGCTTCATTTACAGTTTGGATAGTTAATCCTTTGTATGTTAGGCTGTTTAGTAGTGTAAAAATGAATAGTATTGGGCTGGGAAGGTGACTCAATGGTAGAGCACTTGCCTTGCATGCATGGGGCCCTGGGTTCGATTCCTCAGCACCACATAAGCAAAAAAGAAAAACCCGGAAGTGGCGCTGTGGCTCAAGTGGCAGGGCGCTAGCCTTGAGCTGAAGAGCTGAGGGACAGCACCCAAGCCCAGAATCCCGGCCCCACAACCGGACCCCCCCCCCCCCAAAAAAAAAATGAATAGGATTGTTAGTGTCTGAATATAGGTGGTTAGAGAGAGTTCCATAAACTTATGCATTAATACTAAAAATACTCAGTGTCTCATTTCATATTGTTCCTTTAGAATTTGGAGCACAGAGGGCTGCAGTTGTGGAACTAGTTGTAGAATGCCAGCCTAGCAAACATGAAGCCATAAGTTCAAACTCCAGTACTACTACTATTAGTAATAGTTAATAATTTGAACCACAGTTTGTAAGTAGACAACATGTGGCTTAACTACCTGCTTCATTATCTCACAAATTGGTAATTCCCTAGAATATCAAATCAGCATAATAAAAATACTTTCAGAAGAAAAACAAGTTACATTTTTGTAACCACTAGGATTGTACTTATTAGATATAATAATGTATTGTGTTTGCTGTTTTCCCCATAGTGTAGTTATTTCTCTATTACTATGAGTTTTGTCAAAAGCTCAATTGACAGAAATAAATATTTGTCTAAAAGTTTGTTCTTCTAAGTATTTGAATGTGAATTTTAGTTACGTGCTCTTTGTGTCCAAAATGTTTCTAGCTATAAGATAAGCTGACGAAAACTGAATTTTCTTCTCGTAAGAGCTTTATATTTGCCAATACAAACAGCATGTTGGATGGGAGCTATGTTTTATTTGGTTGGACACATATAATCCAATCATATCTTAATGTCATTTACTTTGAAACAAGTTTTCATATTATTTATACAAATAAGCAAATATTTGGGGAGATATAAAAGGCTCATTGATACATATTCAAAATGAACAATTTTAATTACTTTTGTTGTTTATAAGAATAATTTAAAGATGTATTGTTGAGTAGATCATGTAAAAATCAGACAGCTACCTGATCCTGGAAAGAAAAGACTTGTGTTTTACTGTACCCCTTTAAAAATTTCTGTTCCCTGAATAGTAAGAGATAGAAGAAGTGTGTGCCTGGGGAAAAAATTTAGTTAACCAAAAAATAAAGCAGTATATTTATAGAAGAATATTCCCCTTTTTTTTTCAGAGGATTATAGCTTAGAAATGTTGAGTGAACTGAATACACTGTTCAGTTACAGTTTGCTTCCAAAAAAGATACACTGTCCAAAAAATATCAGCTGTTTATTGCTGTTTAGTCTTTCCCATTTTATCATTTTTTATAACCATAAATCCAGTTAATATGTCTCTGCTTTCGATGTATGTCATATTTATAAGTGTTTTCTGTATTACTAATCCAGTTAATTGCTTATACCTCATAGTATTTTTTATGACAAAATTTTTTAACTGCCATAGGTTAAACATAAGGATTATTTTTGTTCTTAAGGATTAGAGTACTTTGGGTAAAAATAGGTAGTAGCATTCTTAGTTATTTTGTTCCCATACTATGAATTATTGCCAGCTTATTACTAAAACTAATTTTAGGCATCTTCAGTTAACACGAATGAGTATTCTGAAGGTTTAATTGGCCTAATTTCTTTTTTTTTTTAACTTGTGGTTTTTGTGGAGTACTAGAAGTTGAACTCAGAGCCTCTTTCTTGCTAAGCAAGCATTCTACCATTTGAGCCACAGCCCAGCCCTTTTTGGATTAATGTTTTTGGAAACGGGTTCTCACATTAATGCCTAGGCTGACCTGAAACTTTGATTCTTCCAATATCTGCCTCATAAGTAGTTGGGATTACAGGCATGAGCCAACATCCCCAGCTAATTGCTTTTTAATGGTTAGAATCACAAATACATGACAAGCATTTGATTATTCAAGCATTTAAAATTCATAACATCTTGAAAACACAGTCCTGTGGGTGATAATTAAAACCTGGATAAAGAAAATATGTGACATTGCAGTTTTTCTCATTTGTACTGTTAAGCCACATTTGAGAGATTACTTATATTGGCAAT